CACCGCATGTGAGGACTCGAATGTTATCCACATACCGTCTGTACAACTTCGCTTCACCAATATTCACTGTCCTTCGAAAGCGCATTTTATGGAAGGTTTTAGATGAGAACTCTAGTCGTTCTCCTGTCCCCGGGTAGACGATCTGGCAATATATCATTACAAGTACAGACCAAGAATTACACAACAACGAAAGATTTCATGTTACATTGCCGTCTCACAGTTGCCTTATCTGCTGCAAACAACGAAGCGAATAGTCGAAAAACAAGATATTACTGGCGCCGTCCTTCTGTCTGCTTTCCCATCCACTCCACATTCGCACATATCAAAATATGTAGACGTTTAACCAGGGTGCGCCGTCGTAACAGGAATGCATGATGGGTGGAAAAGGCGGAGCAGATAGAATGCTAGGACGAACGACGACAAGATAAAGAGCAATTTAACCTCTTGGACGTTAAAGGCGTTGAGGACGCAACTGTTGCTGGTGTTGGGTAAGTTTGGTTGTCCGAGTAAGTTTGTAAGTCTAATTGAACGTATGCAAAGTGGTATGCAAAAAAGGGTGCAACTGAGTGGACAAGCCTTAGATGAATTTGATGTTGCCTCTGGTGTGAAGCAAGACTGTGTATCAACGCCTGCTCTGTTTACTATTTAGCTTCATGCAATGATGTCTTGTACTTTTGGTGCTGCTTGTGATTGCGGTGTGGTGGGTTACTGTACATCCATCGTATCGGGGTGAGGACCTTAGTGTGTGAGACAACCATCCGTGGGTTGCCGCTTTTCCACCGCAATGAGGCTGGAACTTACCGTGGTGCGATGGTTTGTGTGCCTCAGTGATCCATTGAGCTATGCTGGGTGGTACATTTTTGCACCTTCAGAGACACTCATACAAGACTGGTCAATGGTTAGAGGCCAGACAAACTCAGCCTCCTCGTCCTCCAGGTTGGGAGTTGGAATGAGGGTGGCTCCTTATTCCTTAAAACGGACTCCTTGTAGCCCAACGCCAAACCTGCCGC